TTTTTTTTTTTTAATTATCAAAACCCCATCCTCATCCCACCCTTCCTTCAAACTAGAAATGGTGAAGTAGCATCAAGCACAACAAAGGCCGTTACAGATCTAGATCAAAGGAAAGGAATCCCCAGAGGACAGGCTTGCAAGGCCACTGCACATCCTACCAAGTACACACCTGCCAGGAGGGGATAGGGATGAGGGATCACAAAAAACAGGAAAGAAACTGGAAGGGCGCCCACCAAGTCCAGGAGAACAAGCTACACTCAGTAAGGTCTCTGCCAGGCCCTCCTCTCAGGGATCACTGGGAAGGCCAAACAGCTTTACAGTTCCAGCTTCCCGGCTGCTGTCATATTTCCCATCTTTGTTGTCACAGGCAAATGCTAGCAGAGGCCTCTTAGGGTGCTAGGCCATGGTGAAGGTTGGGGACTCACACTGTATTTGAGGTATATCAATAAAATGATCCTCCAAAGCTGATACCAGCATTTTCCCATCATGGCTAAAACTGAGGGTCCTCAGGCCAATCCAGTCTGGAAAAGCACTGCACACACACTAACTCATCCACATCCCAGAGACTGACCAAAGCATCAGCACTTTCTGTAGCAAAGTATTTCACTATGGGATCAGACTTGATACAGATGCAGTTAGAAGGGTGAGCATTGATGAGTTGCACAGGCTTCAGTTCTGGGTAGCCGAGCATGTTGATACAACCATCGCCGTTTGTCAGGAACTGTCGTTGTTCCAGGAAATTTCATTGACCTCATACTTGAGTTGTTCCTCTGCTTGGAATGATGTATCTTGGCATCAGTAAAGGTCACCACATCATCCTTGTTGCCTACAGCAATGGTGTGCCCATCAGGACTCCAGCAGATATTAATGTTCTCTCCTTTAGTACTCACAGTGGCAATACATTTTGTAGTCCTCACATCCCAGATGCGAATGGTTTTATCTCCAGATGCTGTGACAAAAAGATCAGGATTACTTGGGTGCCAACAAAGCTGGTCCACACTATCCCCATGTCCCCGATAATTGTTTTCTTTGACCAGCCGGTCTTTCTCCAGCAAGAACACACTGTCTTGTCAAAAGGCTCCCGAAGCTAAGCGACGGCTGTCGCAGCTTCACGCCTCCGAGTATACCTTGGCACTCTGTGCCAGGAACTTGCATGTCTTACTGTAGCCCTGGAAGAGCTTCTGCATTCCAACCACACAGTGCAACAGACTGCTGCTCACTGAGCACCAGGCGGCCATCAAGCCCGGACCGCTCTGGCCTAGCGCTGAGGGCCCCATAGCAGCAGCCGGCACCGCCATGCCAAAGTTCAAGCTGACTAAAAATCTGCCCTCTCAACTACCGAAATAATTTTAAACTTAATTAAAATTTACGAGAATTCTGCAACAGTCTCCTAGATTAACCAATTCTGGCCTGTATGCTCTTAGTTATTTTATTTATATGTACGTTAATAATAATAACTTGTTTTTTTGTTTTGTTTCTGAAACGGTGTCTCTTACGTAGTTTAGGCTGACCTTGAATTCACTGTGTAGCTCAGGCTGGCCTTGAACTCACAGTGAGCCTCCTGCCTCAGCCTCACAAGTGCTGGGATTGCAGGTGTGTGCCACCATGCCTAGCAGTAATAGTAAGTTTTGAGTCACGCTTCTATTTTGGGCATGTTAAACTTTAAGAATTACATGGAGGGGCCGGGGAGATGGCTCAGTGGAATAAGCACTTCCCTGGCAAGGGCAAGGACCTGAGTTCAATTCCCGGTAAAAAAAAAAAAAAAAAAAAAAAATTACATGGAGCTAACAAGTTGATTAAGTAAGTACAGTTCAGAGACGGGCTGAAGACATAAATTTTGGTGTCACTGGCATATAAGTATATCTGAGCAAGAAAAGAGCAGCATCATTACATATCTGAACCGCAGTGAAGCATTAAATGGACTGAGAAGGTATGTCCAGATAAAGCTGTAATTTAGGAGATAATACGAAAGAGTTAGGAGAAAGAAGTGTTTCAAAGAAAGAGAGTAGGCTGGGCTCGGTAGTACACACCTGCATTCCTAGTATTTGGGAGGCTGAGGCAGGAGAATTTTTCTGTTTGAGGCAAGCCTGAGTTTTGTAGGGAGACTGTTATAAAAAAAAAGAAGTGGTGGTGCATACCTTAATTTTTGTACTCTGGGAGGCTGAGACAAGAAAATGGGCAATTTAGAGACTTGAGACCCTGCCCAAAAAAACAAAAAATAGAAAAGGGCTGGAGGTACAGCTCGGTGAAGGCCCTGGGTTCAGTTCTTTGTACACCAAAAAAGGAAGGGGAGGGAGTGAATACCTAGCAGGATGAGATATTGCTGAAAGCTGGATAAAATAAGGATGAGTAAAAGACCATTGTGTGTGGCATCATGGAAGAGGAGTGGAAAGAAAATTGGCTTGTTGGATTGGATTGAATAATAAAAAATGTGTTAGGCTGGGGATGCAGCTTATTGGTAAAGTAATTGCCTACCATGTGTGAGGCTCTGGGTTCAATCCCTCATACTGCCAACAAAACAAAATGCTGAATGTGGTGGCATATGCTACTCCGGAGACTGAGGCATGAGGATTGTAAATTTGAGTCCAGCCTGAACAACTTTATAAAGATAAAGAAGACTGAGGATATATAGCTCAGGACTTGTGGGTTCAGTCCCTGGTCCTGTGTCATTTCGTCCACCTCCCAACCCAGTGACAAATGATTCTGTGGTTCAGCAGAGTTCAGAATGGGCTCTCAATCTTGGCACTATTGGTTTTGGGCTGTGTGGGCCTTTACTGTGGCGTGTTCTTCTGTGTACTGTATAATTAATATGCTTGGCTTGTGTCCACTATAGTCACCCCCTTTCCCTCCCTCCCCCTCCCACATTTTGTAACATTAAAAATGTCTGTAGGCATTTTCAAATGTCCTGTGGCAGCTAAGATGGCCTATGATTGAGAAGCACTAGAGTAGACTCTTTCATAAAAGGATAAATCTTGGTGAATTTTTAGGCATTTACTAAGTAGGAAAATGTTGAGGGCCTCGCAGGGAACGCTCCAAATTTTGTTCCAGTGTGCAAATATTTAGTTTGTCTTTAATGTAAGTTGTCCTGTTTTCACATCTTGATTTCCCTGTCTGGTCCATGCTTAGCAAGTAAGCTCTCCCTCTGAGCTTTGTCGCTTTTTATTTTGAGCTGGGGTGTTGCTGAGTTACCTGGATGGGCCTCAAACTTGTCATCCTCCTGTCTTCACCTCCAGGCTATCTGGTGTGCACTACACCAGCTTTGTGTTATATTTTACGTGATTCATAAAGCACTTAGCCTTAATTGGTGGTGTTATTATGTTTGTCCATTAACCTCATAAAAGATTTCAGTTCTAAAAGTATGGAAGATTGTCTTAAGTCTGCATTAACCTGAAATCATGACATAGAAATTATTTTGAAAAAATATTTAGTGATCTTTTGATTTTTTTTCGCATACAAATGTTATAGAATACACAGTTTTAAATTTCACTTTATTTTCCAAATTTGTGGGTTTTAGAGAAATTGCCCTTTATTTGGCAAGCTACCTTTTTGTGCAGAAATGAGTTACCTTAATGTAGATTTTTAATTACTTGAGGTAGTGCAGTTTGGTTCTGGATTGAGATCAAGCAAATTTTTTATGCTTGTTGATATAACAAAGTTTGGAGGCACTGTTAAGTATTAAGGGTCTGTAAAATGGTGTAGCAGTTCTGCTAAACTGTTATCACTGAGAGATTGAGATTGGACTTGTATGTAATTGCATTGGTGGGCACAAAGAGAAAATATTGTCAAAAAGGCACTGCATAGATAAAATACTGTGGACCTTCAGAGGCGGGATTGATGCAGGGGAATGAAACTCTCAACCTTAGATACTTGAAATGAGATCTAGTCTCTAAAACCAAAAAATGAATTTTAGGAACAAGGTTTCAAAAGAAAGCTTGTGTCTGAGAAAGGGACAGAAGGGGACCAGAGTGGGTTGCCAAGGACCCTGCCTTTTCTAGGGATTTTTATAGAGTAAAACTATAAGGTGAGGTGGGTTTAAGGTGGAAAACAAAGCTGGTGGACATGAGGTGGGACAAAACTCGTCAGCCAATAAGACTACAAGCACAGTGGCTCAGGTGAAATTGCTTGAATCCAGGACCAAATGGGACGGTAGTGTAGAACAGAGACTTTTCCTGTAGGAGGTTGGGTTAGTGACTCTTTCTGCCTTCCTCAACGTGATAGAGACCTATCTAGAATATCAGTCTTGGATGCTTATCTTTAGAGAGGGATGAATGTGTTTGATCTTTTATCTTGATGTCTAGCCCACCCACAGTTGCAAGGCATCTTGGCTTCCATGCTGGCTCCTTTTGAGGGCCTAGCCCTGTCTGACTGCCTACAATAATTCTAACTCAGCAGCTCTTGTGGACCTTCAGAGGAGAGGGGATCATTCATTATCTGCAGCAGAGGTGACAGAAAGAGAAGAAATCAATCAAATAGTTGGGTGTTAAATGTGACCTTTAGCAGGGAGAATTTGGATTTACAGGGCAGCCTCCCCCATCAAATCCAAAGTTTTGAGCATGCAAGACAAGCCATATTCCTAGTCCTTTCTGAATTTTATTTTGAGGCAGGCTTTTGTTGAGCTGCCCAGAGTCCCCATCTTGCACTTGTGATCTTCCTGCCTCAGCTTCCTAAATCATGGGATTACAGAGACAGCTGCTTTGGCTTGGCCATTTCCTGTCAATACGTAAGTTCTGGTTTCACTTCTCCAGCCGTCTGTATTTGCTGGCTCTGAACTTTGCCAGCGGGAAAGTCTCCTGCTTGGCTCTTGTCTTCTGCATGTGTGCATGTGTATTCTCTTTGGATGGGGCTGAGGAGGTAGCTCAGTAGAATAAGTGCTTGGGTCCTGAGTTCAATCCCTAGTACCACAAAAAAGAAAAAAACCCCACAAAAACAAAAAACAAAACCCTGAACACTCTTTCGATGGTAGGTTTTTCTCCACCAGATTAATCCTGTGTATAATCCCAGTTTGTTTTCTCCCTGTCAGAATTAGTGAATGTATTTCACTGGACTTTTGATAGAAAGCAGAGGAAATGTGTGTGGTTAGCTTGTTTTACAGAATAAGAAATAGCTATTGATGGGTTTGGGTTCTTGTGGCAACGTGATGAGTCATCACAGTGTCTCTCCAAGGTGGTGATGATCCCCAAAATAGCAGCTTATTTTCCCAGTGACCGCTCCATCCTTCTTCCCCACCCCAGTCCTGGATATAACTTTTTTTTTCACCTTTCCTATGCCACAACAGAAACCCTCATCAACTCCTTGCATGTCACCAAACCTGACAACTCCTCTCCTAGCCAAGGTCCATAAAATCTCTGCCTGCCTTTGTCTCAGGTCAGAGGATTCTCCCGTCTCTTTCTCTGTGGTGCTGCCGTGCCCTCAATGAAGCGTCCTTTTTCTTTTCTTTCTTTCTCTCTCTCTTTTTTTTTTTTGGTGTCCAGACTAGGATTGTTGAGCTGTGTAGCTCCCAGGGGCTCCCCCAGTTTTGAGATTCCTCACCACTCCTGCTTCTGCTGCCTGATATTGTTAACTTACATCCTATATCAGCTGACTGTAATTCACACAAATGAACCCAGTCTCTTACTGGGGATTCCACCGTGTTTTTCTTCTCATCTCAAAAATTATGGGTCAACATTTGGATTCCTCCCTGTCCTTTAGGACTGTACCTTTTGGGGTACCCTCCCTGTTTTTTTCTGCTGACGACCATTAAAGGCAGGCATTGAGTTTCTCTCTTACCCTTGCTACCATGTGGAAAGTGATGGCTTTCTAACAGGGGAGTGATGTTGGGCATTAGCCCTAAATCTTTGGCTCACCCTAAAGTCAGTCACTATGGGAAATATTCCTTCTCATCGTCCAAAACACACCCCACTGGGTTGTCTCCTAAAGAATCTCAGCACCCTCAGACTCCGAGATGTCTCAAACCCAAACAACTTATTTTTTTCTGCTCAGATAGCATGGCCACAATATAAACTTGATAATGGCAGCCCCTGGCCTGAGGAAGACACCTGTGATTTGAAACTCCTCACCGACCTCAACAACTATTGTTTCTGCAATGGCAAATGGCATGAGATTCAGTACATTCAGGATTTTTCTGCACTTCAGGTGCGCTTCTCCCTCTTCCAGGCATATGGGGCAACCCAGGTGCTCTTGGCTTGCTCCATAGCACCAGACCCCACCCCTGCTGTCTCTTTTGATCCTGACTCCCTGATGGGTGACCCTGTCAATGATCTTGTGACCTTCCCTCTGTAACTCCCTCATCTACCAGTCCAGCCTCCTCTACCCTCTCCACC